CACTCACACATGGGAGCACACACCACACAGGAGCACTCATGCAGGAGCACACACACAGGAGAATGCTCACACAGGAGCACTCACCGATGCAGGAGAGCACACACACAATGCAGTGCGTGCGCGTGCAGGAGCACTAAGCTGCATGGAAGCACTCACACACGCAGGTGCACTCAGCCCCGTAAGGAGCGTACACGTGAGAGCACTCACGCACGCAGGAAATGCAGGGGCGTGCATGGCAAGCACACTCAGCTGCTTCGGGGCTTTGAGACATGCCATCCACAGTGATCAACAAGCTTCCACAAAAACCTCCGCAAAGTTGAGGGTGGAGGGAGGGGATGCTCCAAGTGCCTTGGTCTCCTCTCACATGATCACCCCTTACCCTTGTTGGGGACAAGCACCCCAGAGCGTGCTGTCCATGCAGGGGCCCTCAGTGGGCCAGCACCCTCACCTGGGCAGCTTGCTCACTCTAAACTGGCAGTAGTAGTACTCAGGTGGCACATCGGGCACTTCCTCATACAGGACATTGGGAATTCCCAGTGTGGCCAGCAGACCAGCTGACCAGTTGGAGGCTTGATTGGGCAACTCCTGCAAGGAGACATCACAAGGTGCAGGTGGGGAAGGCATTGCACACACATGCAAACTGGGCATCAGGTGATGGACTTGGGGGAAGAACACTGGCTCCGTGTCCAGGTCAGAGCTCACAGTGAAGTGTGGAAGCAGGCACACCCCTTCCCCTCCTGACTGAAGGCTTGGCCACAGATTCTATGATTCTACGGTTTCATTTACTCTCCAGACAGGAAGGGCAAAGGAGGAGCCACTTGAGCCAGCCTTGACCACAGATGACCCTGTGGAGTCTAGGCTCCAAAGGGAACAGGTGGCCAATCTGAGCCAGCTTCAGTAAATGTGGTCACCTCTGCCTTCCTACTAAGTTGGCTTTGGTGAGAGGACACCAGTGGCAGCTCTCTTGGTTTGCAAGTCTTGACAATTGCTCCTGATAACTATGGTAACTGTGGCTTGATGTGGGGACTTTGAGGCCCTCCCTTGCCCACACTCCGCGCACTCCAGGTACCTGCAATGGCAGCTTCAAGCGCAGGTCTTCTGCATAGTAACAGAGCACTGCCCAGGGAGCACTGAGGAGGATGTAGTGTATTGTCATATCCTCATCCTGGACGTCATGCTGTGGGATGGAGAGGCACAGATGCATGGACAGGAGTGTGTGCACATGTGAACATATATGGATGGGGCACACGTACATGCATACGGCCCCACATGGCTAAATGCATATGTGCATGTGTGTGCGTTCTTGAACTGTGCGGCTGATACATCATATGTGTGAGGGTACACATATGTGCATGCATGTGCACACGTGAGAGTGCACACATCTGTGGATGTGTGTGTGTGGAGGTATACGTGTGAGCACACACACGTTGGTGTGCATGCGAGTGGTGGATACTGCATGTGTGTGCAGGTACATGTGTGAGCACATACATTTATAGGTGTGCACGTGTGTGTGCAAGCATGTGTGCGCCCACATGCATGTGTGTGAGTGCAAGTGCACACATTTGCTGGTGTGCTCACGTGAATGCTAGCACATGTGTGTGAGCCCACTTGTGTAAGGGTGTGGGTGCACATGCATGTATGTGCATGTGTGTTAATACATGTGTGTGGTACACATATGTGGTGCCTGTACATGCGTGCATGTGTGGAAATGTGGCAGGCCCTCTTGGACCCTGGGGTGTAAACCGACCTGGAGATTTTCCACAGATTAATCTTCCACTGAGTATGTGACCATCCTACAAACCAGCCCTCATGTGAGCAGACTGCTGTGTCTTGTAAATACTAATGCTGCCTGGGTGCATGTGGGAATGCTCCCCATTTCCTAATGCAAAGAAGAGCAAATAAGTTCCAAGACACATGAAAACAATTGGTCTAGAAATTAAAGGGAGCCTGCAAACCAAGCCTCCAAGACTGAAACAGATGGTACCCATGGGCAGTCACACTGAAAGGGACCGCACGTGGCAGGAGACCATGTGGAACCAAACATGAAAGCATGGAAGAGGCCAGGCTTACAGTCCCATAGACACTGGTGGGGCCCAGCCAACAAACCGACGGGCCTATCAGGAAAGCAGTAACACCACGGGGTGCTCACTTCCTAACTACAAAGCAGGCAGGAAGGGCTCAGAAATGATGAATGAAGTGGGCAACTCAGAGAGGAAGTAAGAAGAGTGCTGTTTCATGGGAGGGATGACAGTGTCACAGAGCAAAACACATAGAGATCGCTGATCGGGGTAAGGGTTCCCTGGAGACTCTCACACAACTAGCAGTGCCTTTGCCTACATATGCTCTCCTTATTCTCTTTTGATGGGAATGGGGTGACTTGCTTCAGGACCAGGTTGCTATCTGAGTCCTCAACACCACCCAGGTGAAGCTAGATGAGTGTAACGGCAGGGCACATGTCCTGTGGCCAGTGGTCCCAGTCATGGGGACTGGCTGAAGCACAATGTCCACTAGAATATGGTGGTCCAGATGCCACACCCGGAGCCCGATGGGGAGAGGACTGCTCGGACAGATGGAGAAACACGCTCCTGCCCACACTGACACCACCTACCTGGTCAACACGCAGTCCTGCTGCACGCAGGTTATCCAGAAAGGCCTCCCGCCAGGCCCGACGCATGTCCAGCTTGTCCTGGGAGGCACTGTCCTGCTGCCACCTCAGCCTCAGATCTTCCTCCCAAACAAGCACAAAGTCTGTTGAGAAGTGACAGAGAGAAGCGTGGAGGGAGGGTTGAGCAAGTGGGCTCCCGGAGAGGGCTGTGTATCCAGCGGGTAACACACAGGCTCTAGGGAGAGTCCAGCGGGTAACACACAGGCTCTAGGGAGAGTTAGAGCACTTGGCTTGGCCACTGCTTCCTCTATGCATTTGACTTCATGGTTTGCAAATTTAGGTAATAAAAGCTGTTAAAATTATCTACTATTAAAAACCCCACAACAATGTTGGCTGTTGTTGTTGTTATGTGCCGTCGAGTCGCTTGCGACTCATAGCAATCCTATGTACAACAGCCCTAAACTCTGCTCTGTCCTGTGCCAATTGCACTGTCTCTGACACTCCCATCCTGATTATCCCAGTCACTGAATCAATCCACCTCATAGAGGGCCTTCCCCTCCTGTGCCGTCCCTCCACCCTGCCAAGCATGATGTCCCTCTCTAAGGACCGGTCTTTCCTCATAACATGTCCAAAGTATGTTAGATGGAGCCTCAGAATCCTTGCCTCCAAGGAGCAACCCGATTTAACCCTTTCCAGGACAAATCTGTTTGTTTTCCTAGCAGTCCATGGTATTCTCAATACTCTTCTCCAGCACCACAGCTCAAAGGCATCAATTCTCCTTCTATCCTCCTTGGTCATTGTCCAACTCTCTGATGCATAACAAGTGATTGCGAAGACCATGACCTGTATCAGACGCACCTTAGTCTCCAGAGAGACACCATTGCTCTTCAGTACTTTGGAGAGGTCCCTAACAGCAGACTTTCCCATGGCAATGCGCCTTTTAATTTCCTGGCTGCTGGTGCCAAGACTGTTGACTGTGGAGCCAAGCAAACTAAAGCTGTGTACAATCTCAATCTCTTCACCATCCATCCTGATGCTGCCAATTGGTCCAGTGGTGACAATCTTTGTCTTCTTGACATTGAGCCTCGTTGGCTAGGGGTTATAAATCTCTAGAAATAATACATGATTATCCATAGGAAAAGGGAGCTCTTGTGGCCGAGTGGTAAGGAGCTGCATCATCAATTCAACGGTAAGTGATTCAAAGTCACCAGCTGCTCCTCAGGAGAAAGCTGGGCAATCTCCTTCCATATAATTTACTGCCTCTGAAAAGTCACTGGAGGGTCAGTGAGTGAGTTCCGACTCAATGTGTAACATCATCATCAATAGGGGAAAAGGAGGAAATGGTACATTTATTTCACAGTTTAGAGAATGACAGGAGGACAATTTTGAGGTAGGTTGTGATAAGTTGTCATTTTTAGAGTGACCATAAAAGAATGACCCAAAAATGTAAACAAGAAATTAATCAGTTTCCAAACCTCCAAAACTAAAACTCACATCACTGACCCTCCAGCAGGTCCTCAGAGGCTGTAAATCACACAAGAGGAGGTTGCCTGCCTTCCTCCTGAGGAACCCGAATAAGAAATACTTTATCAAAACAAGAAAAGGGAAGGATGACTAAAGGGATAAAGAACAGACAGAAATAACAAGATGGTTGTCATAAATGCCAGATTACAAAAAGAGAGGGCTCAGTTACAAGTAGTTTCTAAGAAATACATGTATGTCTTAAACTTTCATTAAATATTTGTGGCAAAAACTGCTCAGCAAACAAAAAAGATGCCGTTGTTGTTTTGTTAGGTGCCATCAAGTGAACTAAGACTGCTATGAACCTGTGAGCAGTGAATCTGAACCTTGCCTATTCTGCCCCGTCCTCACCGTTAGACCCAAGCCCATTGTTATAGTCACTGTGTCACTCCACCTTGTTGAGGGTCTTTCTTTCTCTGACCCCCAGCAATATATCTTTTTCCACGACTGGCCCCTCCTGACAACATGGTCGAAGTATGTGAGAAGGAGTTTCACCGTCCTTGCCTCTTAGAAGCACGCTGGATGTACTTCCTCCAGGAAAGACCTGCCTACTCTCTTGACAGTTTATGAAATATTCAAAACTCTTCTCCAAATCGAGGAAGAATGGTGATCCATTCATACTCATTCTTTCATAATTTGATAAAAAATGCCCACACAGGGAGGTGACCAGAGATACAGGCAACTAAAGTAAACACTACTAGATACACAATCCTGAATTATCGTAATAAACCATTTATCTACAAGAGGATACAAAGGCAGACAGGTGAGATGAAGAGATGGGCAAGTTAAAGAGACCACCCCGAAGGCCACAGGCTAAGTAGACAAGATTTCTACCATGTTTATTTGTATATGCTGTACACACACCCATGTATACTACAGTCAATGGAGTTGTCGTTGTTATGTGCTGTCAAGTCACTTGCGACTCACAGCGACCCTATGTACAACAGCCCTAACTCTGCTCTATCCTGTGCCAATTGCACTGTCTCCAACACACTCACCCCAATTACCCCAGTCACTGAATCCACCTCATAGAGGGTCTTCCCCTCCTGTGCTGTCCCTCCACCCTCCCAAGCATGATGTCCCTCTCTAAGGACCAGTCCCTCCTTGCAACATGTCCAAAGTATGTCAGACGAAACTTCAGAATCCTTGCCTCCAAGGAGCAGCCTGGTTTAACTCTCTCTAGGATGAACCTGTTCATTTTGTTAGCAGTTCATGGTACCCTCAATACTCTTCTCCAACACCACAGCTCAAAGGCATCAGTTCTCCTTCTATCCTCCCTAGCCATTCTTCAGGCCAATGGAGAAGAACAGTGTAAAAATGTCTTAATCACAAAGAAACATCCTGGGAGGGTGCATCTTTGGGATTCAAGACCACAGTAAGACAGCCAAGCACAATCAATAAGAGTGCATCTGAATTCCAAAATCAATCTCCATAATAGTCTATGTGTTTCCTACTGCCAAAGGGGCCCTTTAGA